TGGCTATACAGAGAACATTCCTGGAGTACGTGCTCTGTGTTTTCCGGGGCCTTGCCACAAGGGCACATTTCGCTACACCCAACCTTCAGCTGCGTGGGCGTGGCTGATGACTAAGTTATCCGTTTCTTAAAACCTCTAACTCCTCTTGTGTAATATCCCGAACAATTTTTTTTTTCAGTTTGTGCCACATTTTCAGGTCTTTGTTATCCATCCATCTGTACAACACTTTAAAATTTTCAGCATACGGCAACATATCTTTAGCATGACGTGTATGGCCTTGTCTTTCATTTTTTTTCAACACGGATCTGGCAGGTTTAATAAAGAAGTCATCCATTTCAACCTTTTCAATTGTCGATTTCCTGAACATCCCCATAGCATGAACTAGTTAATATATGCTGGTGGGAGTATTCATTGTTATTCCTTTCATTCAGCTCTCTAGTTCCCCGCCCCTCTAAAGTAAAGCATTTATTTTTTTCTTTACAACTTGCGCAACCGCAAGACCCCAGCTACATTCAGCTGTCGCACTAATACAGGGGTCTCCAAACTGCGGCCCGCTATGTCCTCTCATCCGGCCCGCGGGGATCTTTTTGTCCACGGAAAAAAGTTTGTTGGCGATGACTGAAGAACTTTCTCCAGAAAAATCAAAAACATGTCTGGAAGAAACTGGCCCCCGAACTGAAACTTGATAGTTAATGCGGCCCTCGGACTGAAAAGTTTGGAGACCCCCTGCACTAGTCGACCCCAGTGGCAGGTGGCTAACTCTGTCACACGAGATTATTTTTATCGCCTTAGCCTCTTGTTTCTCGGGAAACGCCCACGTTTCTTAGAAATCTTTAATTTTAAGAAATCTGGCCTACGTAATCAATAGCTCCCGGTTTACACTATCTCTTTAAAAAAAAAAACAATTCATGCAGTTGTAGAATTATTGAATGGAAATCTGATAAAAAATTTCTCTCATACTGTAAAATCGAAGGTTATGTAAACTTTAGTTATATAAATTGATGTGTGTAGCCTAATGTAGGAATAAGAGCTGCACATACATTCTATTTATAATTAATGTCTTACTGATACTGAACTCGTGCTTCAAAACGATGTTTCTATTAATTCGTGTTAATCTTGAAAACGTATATATTAAAGTAGATGATACTAAATCATCATATAATGACAGTTACCCGCCGACGCACTTATACATTAAAGTAGATCATATAATAGCAACATAATGACCAGTGTTTCTTCCAGACGGTCTACATTTCCCGGAGACTTTCTTCGGGGGGGGGGGGGCTCCGCCCAGAGGCGTAGCGACCCTTCCCGGCGCCCGGGGACGAACTTTCGATTTGCACACCCCCCCCCCTCAGACTTTCGATTTGCACCCACCCCCTTAAACTTTCGATTTGCACCCCCCTCCCTCAGACTTTCGATTTGCACCCCCCCCCCCCCCCCCTCAGACTTTCGATTTGCACCCCCTTTCAGACTTTCAATTTGTTTTCCAACCCATTTTGGCGCCCCCTAAGGTCGGCGCCAGGGGACATATGTCGTCGTCGTCCCCCCCCCCCCCCCCCCCCCCGTCCCCCCGTCCCGTCGCGTCCCCCGAAAAGATGCCTGGAGGAAACTCTGATAATGACAGTTTATCGTCGAGATGATTTGCCGTGAGGTAGGCTACTTGATGATTGCACGCGAGGCCCATATGGCACTGCGCCGACGCTATCGATTAGCCATACCCACATAATTATTACAGCTGGTATCGCATGTAACTATTGTAACGATACTTTAACCTATTGGTTGCAGCTAGGGTAACACTGACGTTGAAGATTAGTGGTAGGTTTAGGCTGGTGTACCGTTGTAGTCGTTACTGGTTAGGCTATACGAATACATTGTCGAGAATGTAGATACAATAATAGCATGTGTTGTATGTATAGTATTATATAGGCATGACACAATGCTGTATCATCTTGTATGATAGGAATAAACTGATCTGAAACAAGACTAAACAATAAGTTGTGTCTGTTGAATGGCGGTGTGGAGGATATGGGAGCATTTTTTTCTTTGTATAATAGCCTCTCTGTATAGCCATTCACAGTAAAGCCCTCTTAACATTTTAATCATTAATTTTGGCACGTCAAACATACGCCCGGCCTATTGTTAGTTCTGGATTCGATGAGGGGGGGGGGGGGGGGCTCTGTTAAGGGGTTAGGTATTTTCCCGCCTTCCCTGGCTGATCCAATTTTTGTGTGAACACGGATCCTTTTCCGTTTGAATCTGTTAGCGGATGTAAAACACATTCTTGACTCTCCACCCCCCCCCCCCCCCCTATAAAATATTTTTTCTCCTGTCTGTTTTATCTGTGTCCTACAATGATTTTCCAAAGCGATGACAAATGCTGGTGTAGTTATACTTTCAGCTGAATAACTTTAAACTAAGCCATTCACCCAATAGCGACATTCACGATGTACATTCACATGCTTATGTTGGCCATGTTCTCATAGTGGTGACATATGAGGTCTCCAACAGTTAATAGTAGCGGCCTGTACATAGAAGAGACATGCGTTTATTGGAGTTCTACACCATTTAACAATAGCGACATGTACACAGTGGTGACACATGCGTATGTTGGCTATGTACATAGTGGTGACACACGCATATGTTGTTGATATACACAGTGGTGACACATATGTTGGTGATATAGACAGTGGTGACATATGCATATGTTGGCTATGTAGACAGTGGTGACATGCATGTTGGTGATGTAGACAGTGGTGACACACGTTTATGTTGGTTATGTAAACAGTGGTGACACGCATATGTTGGCTATGTACACAGTGGTGACACACGTTTATGTTGTTGATGTAGACAGTGGTGACACGCATAAGTTGTTGATGTAGACAGTAGTGACACGCATATGTTGGTTATGTAGACAGTGGCGACACGCATATGTTGGAAATGTAGACAGTGGTGACACACGCATATATTGGTGATATAGACAGTGGTGACACATATGTTTGTGATATAGACAGTGGTGATACATGCATATGTTGGCTATGTATACAGTGGTGACACATGCATATGTTGGTGATGTAGACAGTGGTGACACACGTTTATGTTGGTTATGTAAACAGTGGTGACACGCATATGTTGGCTATGTACACAGTGATGACACGTTTATGTTGCTGATGTAGACAGTGGTGACACGCATAAGTTGTTGATGTAGACAGTAGTGACACCCATATGTTGGTTATGTAGATAGTGGCGACACGCATATGTTGGAAATGTAGACAGGGGTGACACGCATAAGTTGTTGATGTAGACAGTGGTGACACACATGTTGGTGATGTACACAATGGTGACACACGCTTATGTTGGTGATGTAGACAGCGGTGACACACATGTTGGTGATGTACACAATGGTGACACGCATATGTTGGTGATGTACACAATGGTGACACACGCATATGTTGGTGATGTAGACAGTGGTGACACGCATATGTTGGTGATGTAGACAGTAGTGACACGCATATGTTGGTGATGTAGACAGTGGTGACACGCATATGTTGGTGATGTAGACAGTGGTGACACGCATATGTTGGTTATGTAGGCAATGTGGTGATACACATATGTTAGTGATGTACACAGTGGTGACACACGCATATGTTGGCTAGGTAGACAATGGCGACACGCATATGTTGAAGGTCTCGTGTCATCCATAGCCCCCCCCCCCCCCCCCCTTTAAAACATGATCCGGTGGTGGAAGCCTAGTACTAGTCCTGTTTGAAACGATTACAGCTGCCACTTGACAGAGCTATGAATCACTGCAAACAGGAAACTTAAAACTTTACAGTCAAGAGATAACATGGCGTCTGGTCATAACCTCGGATCTTGTATGTCCTGTTGATTACCAGTAGAATCAACCAGCCGTATGTTGTTTTTTTTTAATCGTGAGGGAGTTATAGTTTCGTTGAGGTTGCATTGACAGTTATCTGTATGATCGCCCGGCTATGCAGTGCAAAGATCTAGTACATTGATTTGATACAGCTGGCTGGTAAGTCTATGCAGTAGGCTACATTGGTTGCATTTGCATTAGGTCTAGATAATTAAAATAGGTTGGCTCAGTAATCAGTTGGCCACACAATTGGCTCGTTTTTTTTTTCTAATCTAGGTAGTTATATAACCGGTTGTACAGCTTTTCTGCTAAAATAACCGGATTGTTGGATAACCGGCAGTTTGCAGAGAAGTCTGGTTATGGGCCAATAACCGGATGATGTGATCGTAGGTCGGTTGGATAACTACTGGTCGGTTATTGAATCTTTTGATTGCACGCCATATTAGTTAGGCCCAAGGGCGACCGGTTCGGTTGTGGAGCATATCAAAATCAGCATAAATCAGGCTAGTTACAAAATAGCGTTTTTTTCTGCAAGTACTAGGCCTATACTGTGTGTTGAATGGTCGTCGAGGGAGCAATATAGTTGTTGCGTGTCTTAGAGGTATGGTTACTTTGGCTTTGGACCTTGGACCTTTGTTTTCGCTGGTATGGACCGGGACAACCGGAGGTTAGCTGAAAAAAAACCTACACAGTGCTTTGATTGTTTTTTTTTAAAAACTAATTTGCGTCATTGAAATTCTATTTTTCCCTGACCGCTTGGACACAGCTAGTCCCCCCCCCCCCCCCACACCCTTATAGCGATACAAGTCAAATATAAAGCTTCGAAGATGCGGTGATTTCTTCTGGTGGGCGTTGGTGAAGCAGTGTGCTCGTTTATTTATCTAATCCTGACTGGTGTCTAGTTCACCACTTGCCGCCCCGTGCACAGCCCGCCAGTAGACACGGTGCAGTGGTTGCAACACTGTCGCTAACGTCACGTCATACGGGCAGCGACACGCACACTGCTTGCAGGCTAATCAAAGTTACGTTAGGGCCACTGTCGACGCGTTGTGCTGAGTGTCTAAAAAAAGTTCCATATCCTAGTGCACACACTGTGTCAGAGACCATCGTATAGGCTAGCCTAGAATGGAGTCTATATTTGTTTAAACACCTTTGTATACATACACTGGTGGTTTTATTTTTGAGAGCTTTGGCACTGTACTGTACTAAATGCTCAGATCGCCCTCAGTGGTGCATGGCACTTTTTCATGAAAAGTAGGATTACAATTCTTCTAAATATGGTGCTTTTTAAAAAAAGAAAGTTTTATTTTTAATTAATATGAGGCCTTCTCATTATTCATTCTTATAGTGTTGGCGTTGGGTTTAATTAATTACATAGATGTACATTGTTATAAGAATATTTGTAGCCTAGGTAGTAGGTAGTTGTAGTGGTGAAACAATTTAGTAGTAGATCTACTTAGATATTTAGATCTAGATTCTAGATCTAATATGATATTAATATTAATAACTTAATAAGGATGTGATTTTATTCCAGTCATGCAATGAGACTAACCCCATCAAACCCTTTATAGATTTTATATTAACTTGGCTACTGTGCTTATTTAGTTTTTAAAAGTAGTAAATGATAAAGGTTAACCATTAAACTGGTGAACTACTAACCTGCTTTAAGGGCATTTAAGACATTTCTCAATTAACAAATTTCTTTAGTCTGCATTTTATGGGTTAAAAAAAATTATTTTAAAATCTATTTTTAGACATATTGCAAGGAAATCAACAATTTCTTTTTTATTTCTTTATGGAGTGTAATTTTATTTATAGTTAAAAAATTAACAATTTATGGTGGTATTTATGCTGAGTTTTAGGCTTAAAATTGATTTTTACAAATAATCAGCACAATACTCAGTGCAAGAATACAACCAAGCACATTTCAAATAAGAGTTAATAATAGGGATAGCTGAAATAAAGCCAGTAATAGAGCTCTATTAAATACATTCCTGAGTTTTGGACTGAAATTATTATTTAATACAACAGATTTGTTTTTTATTATTCTCATCTCTCTAAACTTAGGTAACAAACAATGCTGCTTTATTTCTCATATTTATCTTAACATTTCTATATATTTCAGGTCAGAGAATGTATAGAGTATAACACAATCAACAGCTCACCATGTCTAATAAAATGGTAAAGATGTGTTCGAAGAAAGAACAGATGTTCAAAGGGCTTGGGATACGGCAGGATATGGGGTATTAATTACATTTTATTTACATTAAAAAGCTATTCTGTGAAGTTATAATATTATACATGATAATTATGTATCTACAGATTTTAATCTTCTTCGCCCTTAATTCTAGTGTTGGAAGAGATTCCCTCCAACACAATTTAGTATTACTTGTCAACTTGTTATGAGTCATATAGGCTGTTGACTACAATTTAAGCCTACTACTTATTTTGGATTAGCTTCCATTTGTCCACTCAAGATTAAATGAGAAAGCAGCGGGGTTGTTTGATTTTGGGGTTGTCTCTTCTGAGTGGCTGTACCAAATTATCAAGCCTCATCTGAAGGAGTTTGAATTCTGGACTATTTGGTTCAGCAACTATGAGCTTAACAGACCTGACCACGCCAACCTCCAATCAATAATATTTATTCTGTCATTGTTTACTTTTTTTGTTGATTGAAAATACTACTAATTAGCCTTCTGTTTTTTTTTTCTTCTTTTTATTTCTGTATCTTATAAAATGTGTGTATTTTATTATTTTATATTACTGGTGAATATTTCTTTTGTATTGTTTCTTTAGCTTTGAGAGACACATAGGCTGCCAAGATAACAAGATAGCTGATGAGAATGAACAAAGTGTGTCCTGCAAGTATGAGGGAAGCAGCAAGTTTATTCAGTTGTTTCTGGATGATAAAATCATTCACAGCAAAAACCTGTATGAAGAGATGAAATCTGAAAATTTCCCTAAGTGCAGGATTGACAAAAAGAAATGTCATGATGAGATGAATAAGCTCAAGAAAAACTTACAGAACAATGGCACAAAGTACCAAGTTAAAAAAATTGAAAAAATATATTTGGAGGAGGAGATGAAAGATAAGAGTTTTGTTAATATAAGATGGAGTGTGGATAAGGGAGATGATGCTGATGAAGGATCAGTTGATGAAACTTTGGTTAAGTCTTGTTATGGATTTAACGTGAAGGAAGAAGATAAATGCATCAAAGATATGGAAGAGAGTGAAAAAGACCATTATGAGAAAGAAATACCAACTGAGCAATTTGGCATGCTTGATGAAAGTTTTCAAGATGTGAATAATTCAGAAATTGAACAACAATGTGAGTTTTCACCTAACGAGATAAAAAATCTTAACGACATGAATGACTCTGAAAAAATGAGAAGTCGACATTGTATCATTGGAATGACGTCTGAAGTGGGAATTTCTGATTTAAACTTTTGTCCATACTCATCATTACAGTATGAACCAAATTACTTTGAAATGGAAATAAATATCATTCCTTCTGACTTGATCAGTAATGCCTATTGGGACTCTCAGTATGATTATCAAGTTACTTTCCCTGAGAAGAAAAAGAATAACCGTAGTGGTTTCCCAACACTGGATTTGAATCTTTGCAAGGAAAAAGATACAGCCAGAGTGAAATGTGAGAGCAAAATTTTTATGAAGGACGATGGTGATAAAGAAGAACCTGTTTGTTTCAAGGGAAGTAATGAAGAGGAGCTGAATGATGTTAAAGACTATGAGACTAAAGAGTCAGCTACTGATGAGGTAAAGAGCATTCAGCTGGGGGACCTACCCACTTTCAAGTGTACTGAGGTATTCATCAATCCCACTCCTGCTGGTAGAAGGCCAAACAAAGGAAACAAAAAGAACAAAGATTCTACTAAAATACCCAGACACTGGTTTGGTGTTAGGCTCATGAAGACAAAACAACAGGGATCCAGAAAGAGAGTGATGATAAACCAAGAGCCTTGGGGAGCTAAACAAAAACGTTTCTTAAAATATCCTAACAATCCAGTTGAAAAAGGTATAGGAATAACATACTGGGGCCATTCAAGGAATAAAACTACCAAACCCTGTGTGGTTATGTACAAGAGAATAAAAAAAATGGCTTTCTATTCAGGACAATTTAATGGTAAGTTGTCTTCTTAAAATTTGAACTGACTATATCATTTATATCATTTGTAACTGAAGCAGTTAAAGATAAATAACATTTTTCCATTTTGTTCCTTTCTAGATGGTTGGCCAGATTGGTTGAAGAGCTCAACAGTCAGGCTAAATTCTGTGCAGTTTAGAGTTTGCAGCAGATCTGGTGGTGATGGTGGAAGTGGTAGTGGTGGTGGGAGTGGTAGTGGTGGTGCTGGCAGTTCTGGTGGGCAGCCTTCTTCATTTGGTCACCAGGTATTTTCATTTTCTGACGTGTCATTATTTTATCGTTATTGTAACCTGCTATGCTAATTATCTTACTGATGTGCCATTATGTGATCATTATGGCCACTGGGTATGGTAATTATCTTACTAACATGCCATTATTATATAACTATAACAACAACAAAATTTTTAAATTAAATAGTTTCAGCACGGATGTGGGTAAAATTAGCAAAAATGAAATAATTATACACAAACATTGAATGATTTATTTGAGTTTGGTGTAATATGAATAGTTATATTTAACTCTATTAACCCGAATGCATTTTTTCTAAATCCACAGAACAATACAAATGGTGGTGGAAATAATTCCGGTGACAACAATGGTGGCTCTGGTGGACAGAAAAGAAACAACAATAACAATGGGAGAACTCCCAACCAGAGCTCTGGTGCTGGGGTCAACCTTTCTCCAACTTTACCTGCCCCAGTCCTGGATGATAAACACCGCCGGGAGAGAATGGAGATAGAGAAAAGGCACTCTGGTTTTAAAGAGCCCAACAGTGGATCCCAGAACAGAACGGTGCCCACGCCGAATTCTTTAAATATTCATCAGCCTCACATGTCCAACCCAACACCAAACCAGGCACCAGTCAGCCATGCTTCAATATCCATCGTTGAATTTTGTGATGTGCTCGGGGCAGCTGTAAATATTTTTGTTTTAGATTTTAAATTGTTTAAAATAAAAATTAAGTAAAGTACCCAGGGGGGCAGGTGAGGTAGTTTGCCTGTTGTAATGAACTTTGCATATGAAAGGATAGTGTAATGAGCACTGTGTCCAGCTACCTGTGCTTGCTTAATGTGAGTCAGGGGCCCATTAGAAATGTTTAGACTCAGGGACATCCCACAGGCTCAGGATCCAATCTCCAGGCTTTCGGGTTAGCAGTCAAACACTTTACCATTCAACCACAATGTCCCCAATTGTCTGTAGTGTTCAAAGTTTATTTAATTTTCACAATATACTATTAAACATGTAAAAAAAATATACAATGCTCCAGATGGCATGAAATTATACAACTCCATTGGCTTTTGGTATTTAGTACAAGTCATATTTTTTAAACACGTGAAATATATATATAACATTTAATAACATATAGTAAAATAATATATTTAATATTTCAGACCAACACAATTCTTATAGCAGACCACAGGTTAAATGGTGTCAACACCTGTTTGATCCAGATGATGCACGACCTTTCCAGGTCCAGCTCATCACAAGAGCTTGAGATTGACGAGTGCCGCATCTGCAACCTCCTGGGATGTCTGTTCACACACATTGCCAACTGTTCTGTGGGCAGGACCAACAACCCATGCACACAGTGTTCTCAGATCAACAACTTGATGATGTCCCATGCTGCCCTGTGTATCAAAAGCAAGAGGAACCGTTCCAGCTCTAGTGGGTATGATCTCTGCTATAAGATGTGCAAGTATTCTGAGTGGCAGCTTGATAAACTTAACCAGCTGCAAGACAGACTGAAAGGAAAAGTAAGTCTTAATCAGCTTATTTTACTGCTCTAAGTTCTCTGTTTTAATATTTAATGGAATTTTACTGTGTTATTAATAATTTTGTATTAAAAAAGAAACATTAATTTACCCAGAAATATAAATTTTATAAATTATTATAAAAAAACATTATTTTACAAAAATGTATATTATTTTTACAAAAAAAAAAATATTTTACAAAGAAGTATATTTTACAATAGAAACATTATTGCAGGAAAGAAATATTAATTTACAAAACAGGGCTCATTACCTAAAACTATTTATTGAACATAAACAACATATAAATATGTCATGTTTGTATTTATCCAGATAAAGAAATATTGCACCAAGGTGCTAGGTGCTAGCCCTAAGGAACTGGCAGATATCACAGAATGCACACCTCAGGAAGAAGTTGGGGAAACAGGCATTGACTCCTTTTATGGTGAAACAAATGGCCCCAGTTCTAGTACAAGCAAACCAAGCACACCATCATACACATCTGGTGGTAACATTGTCCTCCAGGAATCTCAGTGTGCAGGCGCCACAGATCATGAACACCAGACTGAAGTGATGACCAGCAGCTTAAAATTTGCTACCAGTGTCACAAATCTGGTTGGTCAGCAGGCTGTTGACACAGGGCCTGCGTCATTTGTTGCTGCTCAGAGTGTTCAGGTTGAGGTGCACAACACCCATACTGTGCTGACTAGGAAGAATAGTAAGAGAAGGCCTCCAGATATACCTCAACAGATAGCTGAAGAAGACAGCTTGTCCATGAGTGAACCCAGTTAGTATTTCTGACATCATACATTGATCTATTTAACTGCCAACGTTTTTAAAATTTTATTTTTAAAATGTTACAAGAAAATATTTAAAAAATGAAAAATGTTTAAAATCAATAATTATAAATATGTTTCTTTGTTTATCAACAGGTGAAAAAATGATTTTAGAAAGATGGGTAAGTTTGTTTGCCAAAAGCAGTTAGAGATATAATATAGTAGTTGGGGGGTTACTGTATTAGAGTACCATTAGAGATTAAATACGCCTCAGTGCATAATCCATTTTTTATCAATTTGTGTTAATCTGTTTTAATTGCATGATAACAAGAACAGGATGGATTTTCTAGTGAAAAAATTATGACAACCCAAAATATTATACTTATATAGTATTTTTAGCAGCAATTTAATTGTTAAAACTAATAGCTATAGTAAGCTGAATTGCTTTTCCCCAGGGTAAGTTAGCCAGAGACCCGTATGAGACCCAACCAACCTATGGAGAAAAAACAAACTATCAGAGCATGCCTGTAGAAAATGTGCGTGATGCAGAACAGTTCATGTCACTCAACATGCGCATGAGTGAGCCAGGGATTGGGGCAGTTGTGTTTGCTCATCCTTCCAGGCTTCGGATTGTGGCCAAGTGAGTTTTTTTTTTTTTAATTTTTAATTTATTTTGATGCCGTATAAAATAGTAAAATCTTTGTGTAAAATATGGTTTTAAACTAAGAAATATTTGCGTTGAAGGTTCTGGGCTAAAAAACGTGAGGAATGTGAGAAAACTGGACAGTACCCTGACACACTTCGAGAAGAGGGAGTGATTCTGGCTGACCAAAAGGTATTTTGTGTTTTAGATTTATTAATATACTTCATAGAGCTTCAGGAATAGTTTTCTACTTACAAGCATGTTCTTAAGTTAGTCATATAGATGTATTTAAAATAAAGCTTTTAACCTTCCTATAGAAAGAAAAAAACAAATGTTTTAAATAAGAAACAGAAAACAATTAGTTTTTTTTATACTAAGACTTTTGTAAATAGTCCCCTTAAATTCTTTGTACTGGTACTCTTTGTGTTGGAAGCCCCATTCTTTTGTCTATGATTTTTAACTTTGTTGAGGTATATGTACGGGTTCCCTGGTTAATGTCAGTTTTCACAGGTACTTTTTTTTTCTCTCAATCAGGCAAATTTTAGCATCCTTCGCACTAGATACCAAAAGAATGTCCAGTGGCAACGCTTGATACACCTGGGCAATGGCATGTCTGGTAAATGTCATTTAGCCATTGACCTCAAGACCAACTTTAAATTTTGCTGCAAGAAGGTGAGCAGCAATATAGAAATGTGTACATTTTTATTTCTACTTAGCAGTTTATTCAGCTATAGCATAATCACATGTAGGCTTTTGTTTGGTATATTTAATTTAACACACTTAAATGTTGCATAAAATCTATTGTAATTTGTATTGGCTTTATTTTCAAAGCTTAAAAATTATCAGGTTTATCACACTAACTTCACAACAATTTTTGGGTGTTTTGATTCAACAGTAAAAATGTATAGTGTGTTAATTCTTCCATATAATGACACAAATGCTTAAATAACAAATCATCAAGAAAAAACATTCTTTACAATTTGTTTCACTTCTGACAAAAACAAAGTAATAAAAGTTTTATTCAGTTTATTTTAAGTTTATTTAGGCAATAGTAAAATGACTGATTACATGTAAGGAAAATATTGAATTACTAAAAGTATGCTATACATAAAAGCACTTCATTAACTACCACACAAAATTATGTTGAATATATTTTCTGTGGTGAAAGAGATAAATAATTTAACAAATAGGTTGTTTTATTCATGAAGATACACTTGCTGAGGTACTCTAAAGAAGAGTTATCTCTGTGTGAAGCATTTCATACTATCTGTTGTATTGTTTGATTCATGTAGATACATATACTGAGGTACTCTAAAGAAAAGTTATCTCTGTGTGAAGCATTTCATACTATCTGTTGTATTGTTTGATTCATGTAGATACATATACTGAGGTACTCTAAAGAAGAGTTATCTCTGTGTGAAGCATTTCATACTATCTGTTGTATTGTTTGATTCATGTAGATACATATACTGAGGTACTCTAAAGAAGAGTTATCTCTGTGTGAAGCATTTCATACTATCTGTTGTATTGTTTGGTTCATGTAGATACATTTACTGAGGTACTCTGAAGAGGAGCTATCTCTCTGGACTGAGATGCAGAATCCATATATAGTCCGTCTTTATGGGGCCATTCGACATGGTGATAAGATATATATCTTCTCTGAATTTATTGACGGTAAGCAAAATTTTGTCATTAGCGGCATATCTCAGAATTCTATCAGATTATTAATAATTTTAAAATATTCATTTACTAAAATTTAAGTAACTATGTTGTAAAACATATAAGTCCATACCAGGGTTAGAAAATGTTTGATGCAATTTTGGATAATTTATTTGGTCCTAAAGCAGTATCATGTAATGTTTGTATTACAATCACAATTTGTTTAGTTTTAGTGTCACATTGAATGAAACCGAAATTTTCTTCACATGTTAAAGGTGGTGACCTTGCTGCGTGCATAGAGAAACAAAAATTTCTTGGCCAGCGTTTAAGTCATTGGTCAGCCATTAACTATTTCCAGCAGCTCCTCTATGTATTGGCTTACTTACAAAGTAAAAGTATTCTACATGAGGACATTAAAGGTAAGCACATATTTATGGTTTATTTCAGATTCATAAAACTCATTTAATCCTAGTTTATAACAGTAATTTGGAGGGGGGGGAAGGGACGACACTGTTATCTTTCAGCAATGTTGTAATTACACAACAAAAATAGTTTTTTGTATAATTTTTTATTTCATTCACTTGAACTAGTAATTTTTTATTTTAATAATAAAGCATTTATTAATCATCCAATACCTTTTACCTAATATCTTCATTAATAATTTTATAATTTTAATTGAACAAAAGCTATTTTAAATCTTAGAAGCCGAAGAAAGCCTTGTTTAAAGGAATTGTTCTTTAAAACCTTTGTCCCATTTACTTACCAGTATCTTCATTAATAATTTTATAATTTTAATTGAACAAAAGCTATTTTAAATCTTTGAAGCTGAAGAAAGCCTTGTTTAAAGGAATTGTTCTTTAAAACCTTTGTCCCATTTACTTACCAGCTGACAACATACTGCTGCGCCAGAACACAACTCAGATTGCCGTGACAGACTTCGGCACATCACGTAAACTAAATGACCCTAAGGAGCTGAAGAACAAACAGCCAGTAGGGAGCCCAACTCACTGGAGTCCAGAGAAAGCTTCCATGGAAGGTCATGGATTCCCATCTGATCTGTGGGCAGCTGTCTGTGTCCTTATCCACATGCTCAGTGGAGTGCATCCATGGATCAAGAGATACCAAAGAGCTGGAATGTTAAATTATATTGTAAGTTTAATTTTTTATTATACCTGTACTATCTTATTTTTAGTCAGCTTATACCAGCGTTTTTTTTAGAAGGGAGAATATAAGTTTGAATTTAAAATGTCTTTTTCTTAGATCTAATGCTTGTATTAGAATCATTAATAAATATAATTAACTTTAAAATGAATTATCAGCTGCATGGCATGAAAGGGTGCTATGGTGCACGACTGCTAAGCTGAAAGTCTCTGGTTTGTATCCCAGGCTCTAGTCCTAAGGATGTCTATGAGCCCACACAGTTCAGATTGGTACCTGACGAGTTAAGTAAAGGTAGCCAGACATAGAGCTGACCACTTTCCCTTTATATGCCAAGTTCACAGAAACAGGTGAACTCTGCTTCAGCTGCCTTATTGACTCTGACTTGAATACTTATTGCTTTATTGAACACCAGTATCAATAGTAAATGTTTACACTGCTTTTTCACCATTTCACTTGTAAATTTGTTTTAACGCTTTATTAAAGATTTATGCTCAACCTCCACCTTTGGATGATGTACCTAAGAATATTCGTGATATAGTTCGGGATCTTATAGCCAAAGGCCTTGTGAAAGATCCTCAAGAAAGACCAACTGCTAGCCAGTTATTGAATCATCCAGCTTTCAATATTTTAAGTTAGTTCCTTTGTTTGTTGTTACTGTTTTAAGACTGCCCTTAAAAAACTGCTCAATGTGGTGATAGTTTGTTTCTGTATTAATGAAGTTTAGATTTGTTCTGCTGTGGAAACTGGCTGGGTGGCAATGTTAGGAACACTGTAACTAGATTTCAGAAAAAAAAACTTGTAGATCTTCTTTTGAGTCTAATCTATAAATGACACATCCAGGAATGAAATTCAGTTTTTAAGTGTGGGCTCTATTCCCCATTTATTTAAGTGTAGTATAAATAAATTTGATACAGGCTTACATCTGTCCAATTCCTGCATTAATGTGGAAAACTTTGGAGCATTTATGAAATATTAAATAGCTTAATACACACAACAGCCGCATTAACTAAATTTTAAACTACTTGTAATGGGTTGGATCTTTATAAAATTTGCACTGTGACTTGTCAGTGTTGAAATTACAGGAGCAAAACTTGTCATTTGTATTTGTAGATGATGGCAACCAGGAGACTTACTATTCCAATCTAATGTCACATTCCTTCAGACCACCAATCAGATCAGTGGAGGTACAGGTAAGGTTAACTTCTGTTGGCATACATGGGAGTTTTTATAGAACCCAAAAAACAATGTAAACCCTGAGCTAAAGAAAGAACATAGCAGATATATTTACCTATGCTAATTAAAAGCTTGAATAAAAAAAATACTTTGTGTTGTTACTGATAATACAATGAAGTGTTTCAAAACTATTAGAAACTGAACATTTTAGTATAGGATTAACAAAATTTAGTGGTTTAGGTAGATTTCATTTTATAGGTTATATTCAAAGTCTTTAGACTTGGTTCAACTAAAACAAAAATTACATTTTGAATAAAATGTTTTGTTCTACAGGAACAAAGAGTTAGTATTACAGCAGTGTTGACCTCCACCGTCGAATCTAAACCCCCAGAAGAGGAAAACAATAGTTCAGATACAGTGAAAAACTCTAGTGTGGCTGCAGCAAGTCCTGAGAACACTGAGCCCAACAGCCAGACCACCACACAGAAAGTTGAAGAGACACCCGACGTTGTTGATGCACCCGAGGAGAGAAGCTTCACGCCAGTGCTGGCTAGAAGTCAACAGACCTCACAGCTGGACCCAAGGGTCACTCAGTTGATCGAGCCACTGGACATTGAGAATTTACTCCCAGCTTTTTCAGAACTGATAGATGATACGTCCGAGAATAATCGTCGGGTCATAGATTTCTTTGGAGATGATTATAAAATGGGCGCAGCTTCTAAACTTGGTAATACCTCTCCACTGCGAGAATACAAGCCTGAGTTAAAAGAAGGTGGGACATTGCCAATTCTGTCAATCTTCGATACGATGTCACGTAAAAGCATCTCTGCCGAAACGTTCCATTCCACCCAAGAGATGGTTCTCAAAGTGAAAACAGAAACCCCTGCCACAAAGATAAGTAGAATCCAAGCCAGCGGCCCAGTCAGTTTTCTGCTTTCTTCTGAATCTGATGAATGTACAAGTGCTGATTTATTTTTGGATGAGAATGCAGAGTTTACTCAGAACCCTGTTGTGCCAGATAACAGTGAGGCTAGTGTGGCCAATGTGGATATTGCCACATTGGATTCCAAACAAAAGAAGCCAAAAATTGCCCACAGTTTATCAGAGACTACAGGCACATCAAAGAAAGATGTGCCTAGCCTTCAGCTGTCACATACCTGGGGTCACTTCCCGTCAGCTCATCACAACCTAACAACGGGACCCCCACACACAACCCCTGTCTCATCCAAACCATCCTACTTCCACAACCACAGATCTGTTATAGAAGAGCAGGACCAAGCTTTTCAAACACTCTCAGGTATAGCCAAGTTTTATTATTTCAACAACACAAGTTTTAATACAGCTTATGAACTTAAGAGACATAACATTATAAAGTCTTAGTTTTCATAATTCTTGTCATGTTCAAGATAATCAAAGAAGATTATAGGCCAAATAAATAATTTAGAATTGTGTATTTTGAATGTATTTTTACTAAATGGTGACCTTTTAAACAACAGTTTACCCGGATCCCGATACACAGAATAGAGAAGATGATGCCATAGCTGATGATGATGTTGAAAGACCTTCAACTTTTGACGTCCTGCAGAGGGAAATTGATGCCTCCTCTTTGCGTAATTATTTCTTTCCCAAACTTTACATATTCAGTAGCCTGTAGATATAAACTTTACATATTCAGTAGCCTGTAGATATTTTGATAAGAATTTGATACAGTTGGCTGGTTTATAATTTGAATATGGATTAACCATAAATGTCTAGCTTCTATTTTATTGTTTCATTAACTGGGGAAATAAATCTTAAATCTAAAGTCAACCACAGTTTAGGCAGTTTTCAATTGATTTTAAACAGCAACATGTTTTCCTCAACTATGTTCTGTTTGTTTACTCAACAGAAGGCCACAAGTTGACATTTTTGGATACATCAGAAAAGATTTTATTTGATATAAGAATTCGTGACCTGCCCATCTACTGGAAACACATTATTAAATTAGTCAGACCACAGGTACAATATAATTACTATTGGCTTCACTATAGACCTATATCTAACGGTAAACTTAACATAATTTCCTTCCCAAGAGCTCTGTACTAAGTTTACAGAGTTAAATATTCTAAGCAAACGCTACTCCACATTCATTCAGTATACCTTTTTGAAATGTATTAGTTAAAATTAAATTTTAATTAAAACTGTTATAATTTATTACCCAGGTGACCAGGTTTTCTGTCCATTTTTCTGTGACTCACAAGAACGGGTCAGCAGTGGACCTGGATCAGTCCATAACAGCTGAACACCTGATAGTGGTCCCATTGGCTGGCCCAGACAACAGATGCTGTTGTGTACATTGTCATTCCATGATATGAACAAGTCATCATGCAGCAACAGTTCCCAGAAAATGCGCAAATGGAAAAATGTGCAAACAGAAAGATTCGCAAATACAAACTATAGTACTACACTTGAATTTTTTTATATTATTAGTGGAACATATCATTCTTTTGCTATTGTCTAGAAACTATCGATTTAACTTTTTTATGTGCAATTTTTCCATTGCGCTTCTTTCTGGCCATGGCATACACATGATATGAGCTGAGCAGGCCATCGCACAACTGCAACTAACACGTAGATCAGGCTAGCTCAATTTAGCTGCCAAAACATTTTTTTATTTTTAAAACATTTTATTTTTCTTAAAAATTTTCATCACCCTTTGAATTTATTTCTGATGATAATAAAGTGGAAGTGATCTCCCCTAAACTTTCTCAAATATTCTTATATAACAGGGGGGGGCACTCTGGTAATAGACATGATTTTTAATCAATTTTTAAATACTTCAACTTTTCAAAATAGAATAGAATCTTGTAGAATAAAGAATTGCGCACCAAGTGAACAGCAAACAATGTGTGCATAATAGTGCGGAATATAAGAAGGCCTACTTTATAAATTTATGTGCTGTTTTTTGAGAACTCTGAAATAGCGTTAAATGGAAATAACTCCAAGTTTTTACAGATGGCAGAGAATTAGATCTTTTACTTGAATGTGAAATTTAGTCTATCTCTCTGAAACAGTACTCAAGTTAAAGGCTTTTGAAAAACCAAAAGAAGAGTAAGTTCCACTTCCGGTTATCATGTGCACAGACATACAGACAAAATTGCAAAACTGTTTTTACTATGGGAGGTGTAAAACATTGAATTTTGTTAAAAAATCTCTATTTTGATTTTTTTTGCGCCATTACAATACTTCCTCTATACTTGGTATATGAGAAAGTAAAAAGACTTTATTTTTTGTTTTATTATGAACCCTCATAAAATGTAAATGATAATAGTTTAAATTTTTGAACAAATATTTTGTGATATGAGTGTAGTTATGACTAATTAACTGCTATTAGTTTGCTCTTGAATTCTTATGTGCCATAGCAAAGTTGTTTGATTTTTAATGGATTTTCTTTTTTATATACACTGCATTGATATTTTTTGTTTCACTTAAATGTTTAGTGATGTTCTTATTGATTGACATGTGATTTATGTAAAAATATTTATAAATTTTATGTCAGTGATGTTAAATCTATTTTTCATGCTTAACTTAGCAATTTACACAAGTTTAATTATTATATTTTTACAATCCTCTTATTTTTTTTCAAAGTGCTTACAATGTTTTTCAACAACTTTTTGTGATTGGTACTGGTACTGTAATTTTACTTTTTTTTCTTTTTTACGCACATACAATTCATTTAAACAAAACACATATTATCATGATTATCATAGATTAGAAAAGACTTAATAAACTCAATCTTTCAAAATTATTTAAATTTTTTATTTTAAAATCCAAATATGGAGATACTTAACAATACATTATCTACAATTTTCTATACATTTTTTGCTGTACTGAATATGTTAACATGTTTTCACATTTGCTTTTTTTTTTACATTCTATTCTAGCCATCTACTGTAGCTAACTTAGTTACTTACATCATTTATTAACAATAATAGCCTGTAAAATTTCTAAACAGCTTTTGATGTTAACTTTACAGCTAGTTAACATGTTTGGTTGCCAATTTGTTATATGCTAATTTGATTTGCTCGTGACTATTCTTATTCAAGTCTTAATATATCTTTAGTTTATGCAGAAATAATCTTATGAAAATTAGTATTCATTTAGGCCTATCAGTTGAGCTTTTATTTTAGTCTAAATTTTTTTTGCTTAATTTTTATTTGCTTCACTTTTATAATCATGCTTATATTTTTATTGTACTACACATAGTTTTAGATTTATTAAAGAGAAACAACTGTCATTTGTTTTTTATTTGATTAGTTGCATGTGTGTTATTGAATGTTAACATTGAATGGGTGCAACATGAAATATTAGAACTAAAACATAATAAATGGGAAGATGTGGCTGGACAGTAGAGCGCTCGACTGTTTACCTGAAAGTCCTGTGTTCACATCCGGTGCTTGACTCCAACCAGCTCTAATGGGTACCTAACATAAGGGTAAATGAATGCGGCTGAGTATTGTTAACCACACTATCCCTCTATATGTTCAGATCACACAAACAGATATGCTCACCTGCCCCATGGGATTAGCCTTCAATGTCCATCAGGAACACACAACACAACCTTGTGTTGTTAAGCTAGACCAAGTCAAGTTTTTAAATAACAGGTGCATACAGTCAAAGTATGAGCATGCTAACAGGTACCCAGTAGAGCTGAGTGGACTCAGCGAGCGATGTGCACCAGGAACACGTAATACACCCTCGTGTTGTTAAGCTTAATCACGTTACTTTTTTTAATTTATTGTTACCCACATATCCTCCTCAGCCCCCCAGAAAAAATTCTACCGCCCCCCCCCCCCCCCCCAAATGTAATGAAATTTATATAGAAAATATGAAAATATATACTTTTAACAGTGTCCGCCCCCCTCCCCCCCGAAAATTTCAAGTGCCGGAGAAAAAAGTCTGGAAGAAACACTGTCCTCAGCTGCACAAAAAGCCAGACCCCCTCGTTTGAAATGACGTCACACCTCAGCATGTCACGCCAACCCTCTCAATTGCAAGTTTTGTTTTTTCAAGACTTCCGATGATCATTGAGCAGGAGTAATGTTTGAGCCTATTTTCATTATAATTTTTAGTGCCAAATAACAGCATAAGTTCAGTTTCAAACCTTTTTTTTTTTTAAAAAATACAAGTCTGTCGTTATACTTTATGACCTCACCCCCCCTCCTCTCCCTCCATCACACATCGCCACAAAAGTCCGACCCCCATCCAGGATTTTGACGTCGTTTATGAACGACCATTCAGAAACATCTTTATCCTGTTTAAAGGACCATCTTTATCATTTCTCCGGCATATAAATTACATCACGGCTATTTGCTCGCCAGTCGATACCACCACAAGTGTTGAGGTTTTATGCTTGGACGGAGACCAAGCTCAATAATGTTGATACTGTATAATTAATTCGCTTTACTGTCCATAAAAAAAAAGAGATGTAAAGGGAAGTAACTGGAAAGGGAACGGAACTGATGTGATTCGTATTCACTGAACGGCTTGACCGGCAATATGGGGGATCGGAAATTACATGTTATGATTAGGTTTGGAAAAAAATATTGGGACGTTTAAACGATTTTTTAAAAAATGTAAAAATATTTAATCGAATGAAGGCAATTGAATCCCCCCCCCCCCCCCCAGTTGAAGCTGGTCAATAGTGAGAGAAGCAAAAAGTGGAGGGAATGGGGAGGGGGCGTGTTTCAGTCGCGTGGGCAGACCAGATCATCACGTCCCGCGCTTTCACGAATCGGAAACGGAACTGAAACGATTTTCAGGCGAGAAACTTCATCAGGATTATTTAGTCGGTGTAGATACATTTTGATTATAGATTTCTAAATCAGATCGAGTTTTTATTTTTTCTTAAAGTGAATCTCTGTGAGTACACAGCGAGGATTAAAATTTCGCTACATGGGATCGTTTTCTTGCTTGTGGAAGATTTTTTAATATTAAAATAATCAAATAAAAATAGATTTCTAAACCACATAAAATAAATTGGCGTTTTTTCTAAAGCTAATATCAGATAATATCTATATCTAGGTCTAGACTCTGCGTCCAGTTTTAAATGATAAAATGAAGCAGCCAGTGTTAAAAACATTGTGCTTTCCAGACATCTGTTGGAAGTTGTTTTTTTTTTTTTTTTAAGTTTCTGCCGGTGTAACATCACCTCAAAGTTTTCACTTATTCTTGGTAGAGAATAACTTACCCAGATTTACAGGAACAACAGCGATGAACTAAGTTACACGGCGTTGTAAAATGATTATCTGAAATAGCTGAACTTTAAAAAAAACCCAACAATTCCAACAAAAAAGAAATAAAAAAAAACAAAACAATCACCTTGCTGATTTCAAGTTTCCATTAAGGTGGTAAACATGGAGTAATCAACAACCATTAAGCTGCAATCTCTTGTTTACGGCAAAACATCAATTGGCAATTTCTTATCTTTGATGTTTGATACCAAATGTATCGATCTTATTGATTGCTAAAAACTGGAAACAAGCCACTGTGAAATCTCTACTTCCGATTGTTACTTTATTGTGTTCAGCATGCCACGAATTACTGGAAATTTCTTTCGTTTACACACTGATAATTATATCACTACCACTGGAATATTTTCTGGATATTTAGTTCACAGGTAATTTGATGTTTCTTTCAGAAGACTGGATACCTAGTTCAGATATAACTATTTTGTGTTAACTTTGATTTTTTTAGGAAGATGCTGTTAACTGAAGACATAGTTCAGACATAATTTCCTAGTTAACTTTGAAAATAACAATAAAGAAGATGTTGCTATTAGAAGAGTCAGAGAAAGCCAGTGACTCCAACATTACGGTCTCGCCATTACTAAGCGCGGACGCTACTATGAGATTAACATGGCCGATGTTGCCGCTAAAAATATCCCTAGCTCTTCTTGGCGTCATCTGCAACATTTTCGTCTTCCTGGGTCTCAAGCCGAAGCAGAAGAAGATGCAGGCGCCGGATCTTCTGCTGATGAACTTGGCAGTCTGGGATACCGTGTTCCTGGGCTCGCGCGCGTGCCAGCACATCATGCACGCCGTGTACCGGCTCTGCAGCGACATCCCGACCTGCACCATCATGATTATAATATACCTGTCCTTGACCTACGTGGCGAGAACGTCCTTGATCACGTCCATGATATCGACGGTTCCGATAGCCGTCGAGCGGTGCCTGTGTAGTTCTCTGTCTTTCAAGGTGAGCTCGACCTACGACAAGAAGCGCACGCGCCTGGTCATGTTAGCGGTGGCGTTGCTCCCGTTGTTTATCTCCGTTCCAGAAGTTTTAATGATCCTGTGTATCTATCACGTGTACCCCAACAGTATTCTAGCGGTAGACCAAGACACGGTCTGGCCTATGT